ATCAATAACAATATATTATATATTATATATATATATATATATATTTATATATATATATATATATATATATAATATAATATATATAATTTCTTTCAAACACACCGGCCGTATCCCACCGAGGCGGGGTGGCCCAAAAGGAAAAACGAAAGTTTCCTTTTACATTTAGTAATATATACAGGAGAAGAGGTTACTAGCCCCTTGCTCCTGGCATTTTAGTCGCCTCTTACAACACGCATGGCTTACGGAGGAAGAATTCTGTTCCACTTCCCCATTTGGAGATAAGAGGAAATAACCAAGAATAAGAACTAGAAAGAAAATAGAAGAAAACCCAGAGGGGTGTGTATATATTTTGCTTGTACATTGTATGTGTAGTGTGACCTAAGTGTGAGTTAGAAGTAGCAAGACGTACCTGAAATCTTGCATGTTCATGAGACAGAAAAAAGGACACCAGCAATCCTACCATCATGTAAAACAATTACAGGCTTTCGTTTTACACTCACTTGCAGGACGTAGTACCTCCCTGGGCGGTTGCTGTCTACCAACCTACTACTAGGATATATTATATATATATATATATAATATTATATATATATATATATATATATATATAATATATATATATATATATATATATATATATATATATATATATATATATATATATATATACACTACACACTGAGATGTGTATTTCTGCGTATATATGCCGAAAATATACTTTAACACTGCTTAAGGTATTATTAATGACTCTCGTGTAGCAGATAGGCTTGAAACCCCACTGACCTCTCTTTTTAACTTTTTTTCAGCCTGTTGATAGGCCTAGTTTGTACCAAGAATATAAAGTCAGTTTACCACGCTTTTCCGAATTTTTTCTTGAATTATCTGGCAATGAGTTATTAGATTGTTGAGGACTGTATGTTGGAGAGAGAGAGAGAGAGAGAGAGAGAGAGAGAGAGAGAATGAGAAAATGAGTTTAGAATCCACACCAAAACTCTCTACTTGTCTTTACATATAGAACTGTTACGTGTTATCAGGTCAGCTCAAGTTGTAAATAAACAGAAGTGAATAAACAGAAGGGTTAACGGGGGATTCGAACAGTAGTCGTGATAGGTAGGAGGTTCCACTGAGCTACGGGGCTTAGTGGGAGACTTCTGGACCTGCTGCCTGGACCACGGTTCCACGGGTCATTCTTCCGGTTCATTCTTCTGTTTTATCATCTTGGTGATCGATGGAAGGACAGTAGAGAGAGAGAGAGAGAGAAAGAGAGAGAAAGAGATAGAGAGAGAGAGAGAGAGAGAGATAGAGAGAGAGGTGAGGGAAGAACAAGGCTGTGAATTTACTTGTATATTTGTGTAATATGTACAGGATATGTACTAAAGCTTTGAATGTTATTAGTAATATAGATTGTATCACCTGTAGTCATCCCTGGTCTCCTACTAGCACTCCAGACCACTTTGGCCCCAGTACTTGCAGTCCAGACCACCTTGGTCTCACTACTAGCAGTCCAGATCACTCTGGTGTCACTACTAGCAGTCCAGACCACCCTGGTCTCACTAATACCAGTCCAGACTACTCTGGTGTCACTACTAGCAGTTCAAACCCCTCTGGTGTCACTACTAGCAGTCCATATCACTCTGGTCTCGATACTAGCAGTCCAAACCACTCTTGTCTTCTCGATACTAGCAGTCCAGATCACTCTGGTGTCACTACTAGCAGTCCATATCACTCTGGTCTCGATACTAGCAGTCCAGACCACTCTGGTGTCACTACTAGCAGTCCAGATAACTCTGGTGTCACTACTAGTAGTCCAGATCACTCTGGTCTCGATACTAGCAGTCCAGACTATTCTGGTGTCACTAGCAGTCCAGACTACTCTGGTCACACTACTAGCAGTCCAGACCACCCTGGTCTCACTACTAGCAGTCCAGACTACTTTGATGTCACTACTAGCAGTCCAGACCACCCTGGTCTCACTACTAGCAGTCCAGACTACTTTGGTGTCACTACTAGCAGTCCAGACCACTCTGGTGTTACTACTAGCAGTCCAGACCACTCTGGTGTCACTACTAGCACTCCAGACCACTCTGGTCTCGATACCAGCAGTCCAGACTACTCTGGTGTCACTACTAGCAGTCCAGACCATCCTGGTCTCACTACTAGCAGTCCAGACCACTTTGGTGTCACTACTAGCAGCCCAGACCACCCTGGTGTCACTACTAGCAGTCCAGACCACCCTGATCTCACTACTAGCAGTCCAGACCACTTTGGTGTCACTACTAGCAGTCCAGACCACTCTGGACTCACTACTAGCAGTCCAGACCACTCTGGTCTCACTACTAGCAGTCCAGACCACTCTGGTCTCACTACTAGCAGTCAAGACCACTCTAGTCCCGATACTAGCAGTCCAGATCACCCTGGTCTCACTACTAATGTCCAGATCACTCTGGTCTCACTACTAATGTCCAGACCACTCTGGTCTCATTACTAGCAATCCAGACCACCCTGATCCCAGTACTAACAGTCCAGACCACCCTGGTCCCAGTACTAACAGTCCAGACCACCCTGGTCCCAGTACTAACAGTCCAGACCACCCTGGTCCCAGTACTAACAGTCCAGACCACCCTGGTCCCAGTACTAACAGTCCAGACCACCCTGGTCCCAGTACTAGCAGTCCAGACCACCCTGGTCCCAGTACTAACAGTCCAGACCACGTAAATCAGTGCTAGTACTGGTTGCTGCCTCACAGCTAGTTCTGAGGTCTACATCAATGGCTCTCCCGCTATCAGAATTAATTACTCCATTAATTATGATTTTGTTCATTAAGGGCTCCTCAGTAAAAAAATTGTTAATTGTTGAAAAAGTTGGTGTGATATAGATGTTCGGGGGGTGGGGGGACCGGGGGGGGGGGTCGCTGGAGGGGGTGGTGCAGGGGACATAGGCCTCTGTGGCATGAGGTGGTAAGTGTGGTATTAGCTTGGTCTCCCTCTAGCCTCATTCTACCTTCATAAAGAAGCCAGCTCTGAGCTGCCCTGGAAAAAAATACCTCCTTCCCCTCCCCCCTAACTTTTCCATTTAAACCTCCCCTTTTTTTTCTTTTCTCTTTTAATTATCGCGCCCTTTTTTAAAGAGGTGCCGCTCTCAGAGGCTACTTTTCATATATTATCATAGCAATTCCGCCACTGTTGACAGGCAATTTTGGTTCTAATTAAACCCGCGTGTAAAGGTGGTTGTCTGGACACCGTCGAAATTTTGCCTAGAGATGCAAACAAAAACCTATCGTTAGTTTTTCGGCGGGAGTGATTTACCACGGCTGCAGGAGGGGGTTGCGCCCCCTCCTGCTCCCCCCTGACTCTTCTTGGCCTGGGGGCCAACACCCTGACAGCTCTTCATTTTCCAATCTCTTTGATGGAATGCAGTCTCGTCTCTGTCCTATTTCTGTGTCAGTCTCGCTAAAATTGTCTGGCCCTTGTTGACCTAGCAGTAAATAGGTACCTGGGTGTTAATAAATTAGACACATGTGCAACTCTTGGGTATCTTTATTGAGGAAACGTTTCGCCACACAGTGGCTTCATCAGTCCATACAAAGGAGAATCTTGAAGAACAGGAGGAGAATGAGGTAATCAGTCCCTCAACCTTGAGTCGATGTGGTCAGTCCATCAATCTTGAATAGAAGATTGATGGACTGACCACATCGACTCAAGGTTGAGGGACTGATTACCGCATTCTCCTCCTGTTCTTCAAGATTCTCCTTTGTATGGACTGATGAAGCCACTGTGTGGCGAAACGTTTCCTCAATAAAGATACCCAAGAGTTGCACATGTGTCTAATTTATCAACATGTCGGTTCTCTGAACCATTCATCTACAAACGTGGGTGTTAGTCGACTGGTGTGGGTTGCATCCTTGGAGGCGTATAGATAAGTCTTACACCTAGTACCCCTGTTAACTAGCAGTAAATAGGTACCTGGGTGTTAGTCGACTGGTGTGGGTTGCATCCTTGGAGGCGTATAGATAAGTTTTACACCTAGTACCCCTGTTAACTAGCAGTAAATAGGTACCTGGGTGTTAGTCGACTGGTGTGGGTTGCATCCTTGGAGGCGTATAGATAAGTCTTACACCTAGTACCCCTGTTAACTAGCAGTAAATAGGTACCTGGGTGTTAGTCGACTGGTGTGGGTTGCATCCTTGGAGGCGTATAGATAAGTCTTACACCTAGTACCCCTGTTGACTAGGAGTAAATAGGTACCTGGGTGTTCGCCACGTCCTGGAGAGAAAGGGACGGAGGAATCATGGTATACCTTACATAGTGCTGGGCTTTGAAATAAGCCGAGGTAGGATAACCGCTCTTAGCCTGTAAATGAGCCGAGGTATCACGAATGCTTGCAACCTGTAAATGAGCCGAGGTATCACGAATGCTTGCAACCTGTAAATGAGCCGAGGTATCGTGAATGCTGGTCAGTTCCTCAGTCAGAAAACAGTGATTGGCATCACTATTTTCTGGCCTCTTGGGCCATGTCGTAACTGTTCTTGAAGCTGGGTATTGAGTTTGCCTCCAACGCTGCCTCATTCAGGTCCATGTTATTCCATTTTTTCAGCCACCATCAGGCTGAAGAAATACTTTCTTACGTCTTTGTACTTCATCTGTGGCTTTAATTTCCCCCTTTTGTGTGTGTTAGTTGCCAGTTGTCAAAGGTACTTGTGTATAGACACTTGTGTATGTACATAAGAGTGTGTGTGGGGGATCAATATACATGTGTGTTAAGTTTGAGGTGGGACGAGCTCTGGCTCTTGGGCTAGAACCTTAAATCTTCATTGTGTAACGCATATTTTAATAGTGATGATGAAATAAGGAGTATACCTGGAGAGGGTTTCAGGGGTCACCGCCCCCGCGGTCCGGTCTGTGACCAGGCGTAGTGGTGATTGTGGCAGTGATCACATAAAAATACGTTGATCATTGTAGTAATGATTCTTACAGTGATTAATATCCAATATGCCCCTACAGAGAGCAGCAAGTGTCCAACGCCGGGATGTAACGGAGCGGGCCACGCTACGGGCCTTTACTCCCACCACCGTTCTCTATCCGGCTGTCCCAGGAAAGATAAGGTCACTCCAGAAAGTAAGTCCTCCCCATTCTTCTATTATTCTACTCCCACTCCTGCCCCCTGTCCGGCTGTCCCAGGGAAGATAAGGTCACTCCAGAAAGTAAGTCCTCCCCATTCTTCTATTATTCTACTCCCACTCCTGCCCTATCCGGCTGTCCCAGGAAAGATAAGGTCACTCCAGAAAGTAAGTCTCTCCACCCTCCTATACCAAGGGTTCTTAATCTTTTTACGATTACAGACGCCCAGTGGATTGGAGAATAAGACAGTTGTACAATAATATGGGAATATTTATTGAGGAATTCCTATTATTGAAGATTTCTATGTTGCCTTCATTAAAGATTCCCATATGTTGCACAAGTGTCTTATTCTCTTATTGTAGTTTTTTATGCCATTTATCACGCCCAGTGGATTGTCCAGTATGTCACCATACCAGTTTCACCAGACTCGGGAAATCACCACCAGTCGTATTAGGTACCAGTATGACGTCATAAGATGTCAGTAGCTTGGTTTTAGGATGGAAATAAATGGTATAAAATACCGACACAATGGAAATATAAACATATGCAGTATAATGTGATCCTTTATTGACTACGTTTCGTAGTTCTGTTTGTGACTTGAAAAAGCCCACTGTGTGGGCGAAACGTAGTCAATAAAGGATCACATTATACTGCATATGTGTTTATATTTCCAGCTTGGTTTTACTTTACATGTGGATAACTGGGAATGAAACAAATGGATAACTTGGAACGGAGCAGATGGATAAATGGGAACGGAAAAGAAGGATAACTGCGAATGGAACAGATGGATAACTGCGAATGCAACAGATGGATAACTGGAAATGGAACAGATGGATAACTTCGAACAGAACAGATGGATAATTAGGAATAACAGATGGATAACTTGGAACAAAACAGATGGATAACTAGAAACATAACAGCAGATAATTCTAATCTAACAACTTATTTTTAAAACTGTTCAAAGATCAAGTCCCATACCCACATGGGGTATGAGAACCCGGGGATATCCATACCCCCACGGGTCATGGATACCCCCGGTAAAGGACCCCTGGTCTAGATACTGCCCCGTGATCCACCCTCCTTAATCTGAACGAGTTACGTTGGCTTTATAACGTTAGAGGAAATGCAACACAACACAGTAGAATGTAGTCACTGTATCGGCTCTGACGGACTGTCTAGGTTAGGTTAGGTTAGGTAAGGTTTGTCAGGAAACAGGAAAAGTGTTTCCCGATGCGGGTCTTAGACGATGACCAACTGTTGCAACTTTTGGTCATCTGACCGAGACCTTCCGCTGACTTGACCCTCCACCCTTTTAAAAATTATGGTCATATTTATAACCATTTAGTTCTCCATTCTACCTACCTTTAAAAAGTATACCTCAAAAAAGAGTACATTCTACCTCTAAAAAACTACCTATATTTACCTTACCTCAAAAAAAAAAAAGCTACCTGTGATCTACCTATCCTCTACAAGGCTCTATATTCTGTCTACCTCTAACAACTACCTACTTTCTACGCTCCTCTAAAACACTATGCACATTCCAGCTACCTCTAAAAGACAATCTACATTGTCCCTATCTTCCAAATGACTATGTACATTCTTCCCATTTCTATAAGGCCACATTCGACCCATTTCTGTAAGACTCCATTCTACCAGCTTTTATAAAACTCCATTCTACATATATCTACAAGACTGTCTACATTCTATCTACCTTGAAAAGGCTGTCTAGATAGGTAAGATTATGTTAGTACGTATACAGTGGACCCCCGCATAACGATTACCTCCGAATGTGACCAATTATGTAAGTGTATTTATGTAAGTGCGTTTGTACATGTATGTTTGGGGGTCTGAAATGGACTAATCTACTTCACAATATTTCTTATGGGAACAAATTCGGTCAGTACTGGCACCTGAACATACTTCTGGAGTGAAGAAATATCGTTAACCGGGGGTCCACTGTATTATAATGACCTTTACACTCCGTCATTCTACCTTGACTCGCTTTAATATTCTTTAAGTTACAATGGCTTTACTGGCTTATTAAAGGTAATTTACACATGACTATTGCATAATTAAGCCTTTCAGGGTCCAGAGGCCAAATTTCAAAGTGTGCACCAGTGTCCAAGAATTTTCAAAAAATAATTTTGTTATTTTTTCTTATGAAATGGTAGAGAATATTTTTCTGAAGGTAATAAAACAAAAAGTAAGAAATTTGATGGAAAATTGGCGAAATTATGCTCTTGCGAATTTCAATATGTCGGCGATATTTACGCATAGGCGATTTTGCTAACTTTGACTCCCATTTTAGGGCAATTACCTTATTCCAATCGATCAAATTCTTAGCTATTTCACTAGTACTACTTCTATTCTATCAATTGAGCACAAGAAATCGCCAAGTCAACTTTTTCAACTGCAAAATAAAGTGATTGGAAATTGGTAATTTGGCCAGTTTAGTGCAAAGTTCAAAATATTCCAATTTCAAAATAGGGTCCAGAATAAACAATGTAGGTATTCCTGGCACTAAACTAACATTTCCTCTGTTCCTTAGTTAAGTTTTCAGGCTTTACAAATGAATTCCATTTTGATTTTTAATTCACATAATGAGTTTTTATTCAAACCAAAGCTGTATAGTCCTTGTGGCTTAGCGCTTCTTTTTTGATTATAATATTCAAACCAAAAAATAGAAGATTTATTGTCATGCAATATTGTAATAATTGTATAAATAATATTAGCACATTTGTGAACGTATATTAGACCCACCACCTGGTATGTATTAGATGTGTGAGGTCATTTGTTTACTCTTGAACATCGACAAAAAATTTAACATTTCCACTACTTTGAGCTCAGTTTCAAGCCATTTTCAGTACTAAAACCAATCAAAATCATCTCTATTTCTGTAACATACCTTCCATTCTATCAATTGAGACCAAGAAATCGCATAGACAACTATAAAAAATATACGAAAAAACACTGCATAGTTGCTGTTTTAATCGAAAATTAGTCTCAGTTTTTTTCTCTTATTATGCACTGTGTGCTGCAGGATTTGTTTTATGTGGTGCATACCTACAACATAGATGTATTCTCTCATATCAATGCCCAAATTTACCGCTCACTGCTTACCAGAGTGAGCTGAGCTCATGGCGTAGATCTACGGTTTGGACTCTCAATGTAAAGCCTTAGATCTATGGCACAGGCCCTGAAAGGGTTAAAGGTAATTTAATCATGGCATTATTGGCTTAATAAGGGTAATTTACACACGACTTTATTGGGTTATTAAAGGTAATTTACTTGTATATTTATGTACAAGTCTAAAAATCTAGACTTATGTACTGAATTTGACTTAGAACTTAGGTTTTTCAATGTCAGTTTCTAAATGTTCACTGTAACTCTACAGTTATTAAGTTTTATGCTGAGGTAAACATAAGATGTTCAAGTTTACAGTCAGTTGTATAATTTACAGACATGTATAAGATAAGATTAAGGTATACTAGTTTACAATAGGTTGTGCAAGTTTACAATAGGCTGTAGAAGTTTACAGTAGGCTGTCTTAGTATACAATAGACTGTATAAGTTTACAATAGACTGTACAAGTTCACAATAAGCTGTAAAAGTTTACAATAATCTGTACAAGTTTACAGTAGGCTGTACAAGTTTACAATGGGCTGTACAAGTTTACAATGGGCTGTACAAGTTTACAATGGGCTGTACAAGTTTACAATGGGCTGTACAAGTTTACAATGGGCTGTACAAGTTTACAATGGGCTGTACAAGTTTACAATAGGCTGTACAAGTTTACAATGGGCTGTACAAGTTTACAATGGGCTGTACAAGTTTACAATGGGCTTTACAAGTCTACAATAGGCTGTACAAGTTTACAATGGGCTGTACAAGTTTACAATGGGCTGTACAAGTTTACAATGGGCTGTACAAGTTTACAATGGGCGGGCTGTACAAGTTTACAATGGGCTGTACAAGTTTACAATGGGCTGTACAAGTTTACAATGGGCTGTACAAGTTTACAATGGGCTGTACAAGTTTACAATGGGCTGTACAAGTTTACAATGGGCTGTACAAGTTTACAATGGGCTGTACAAGTTTACAATGGGCTGTACAAGTTTACAATAGGCTGTACAAGTTTACAATAGGCTGTACAAGTTTACAATAGGTTGTACAAGTTTACAAATGGGCTGTTCAAGTTTACATTGGGCCTGTACAAGTTTACAATGGGCTGTACAGTTTTACACTGGCTGTACTTGTTTACAAATGGGATGTACAAGTTTACAATGGGCTGTACAAGTTTTCACTGGGCCTGTACATGTTTACAATGGATGTACAAGTTTACAATGGGCATGTACAAGTTTAAATGGGCTGTACAAGTTTAATATGGGCTGTGCAAGTTTACAATGGGCTGTACAAGTTTACAATGGCTGTTACAAGTTACAATGGGCTGTACAAGTTTACACTGGCCTGTACAAGTTTACATTAGGCTGTTACAAGTTTACAATAGGCTGTACAAGTTTACAATGGGCTTGTACCAAGTTCTACTATAGGCTGTACAAGTTTACAATGGGTGTACAAGTTTTACAATGGGCTGTACAATGTTTTACAATGGGCTGGACAAGTTTACAATGGATGTTCATGTGTACGATTGGGTGTACTAGGTTTACATATAGGCTGTACAAGTTCTACAATAGGCTGTAAAATGTTTTCATCTAGGTGTACTAAGTTGACAAGGATGGGCTTGTACAAGTTTACAATAGGCTGTACATGTTTACATTGGGCTGTACAAGTTTTTCAATAGGCTGTACAGTTTACAATGGGGCTGTACTAGTTTACTATGGGCTGTACAAGTTTATCAATGGGATGTACAAGTGTACAATGGGCTGTTCAAGTTTTACTCTGGGCGGTGACTGTTTACATAGCTGTTCATTCGGGTTCAAGGGCTGGTCATGTGGATTATGCGGCTGGTTCAAGTGTACTATGGGGTCTGTAGTGGTCTGACATAGTTGTGGGACTGTGTGGGGTCACGGGAACGGGCGTGGGGCTTGGAGGGAAGGGTACGAGAGAAGGTTCGATGGGGGCAGACGGTGTGATTCTGATTGGGGAGGATGGGTTTGGTTGGGGTTCTTGGATTGGTTGAGGGAATGAAAAAACATTTTTTAATAAAATGGGGGGGGGGGGGGGTATGGGGCGGGTTTGTTGTTTGCTGGGGGATGTAGCTATAAAGTAAAAATTTTAAACAAATGGGGCAAGATTGGTATAAATAGGAACAGATGTAGTATAAGTATAATGAGATTAGCGTATAAAGAAAGAATCGAGATTAAGTATAAAATAATAATGAGATTCGTATTAATCATACTGAGATTAGTATAAATAATAAAGAAAGTAGTGTAAACTTATAATGAGATTCGTGATAAAATAATAAAGATAGTAGTATAAATAATAATGAGATTAAGTATAAATAATAATGAGATAGA